ATGTTGCGTTCCACATAGAAGGTTCCATATAACCTTATAACCTAACCTTTCTTTTTACGATTTAATGGTTTTTAGTTTACCATAATCCTGTTTTTAAAATTGAGATATTATGAAAAATATTTACATGAGTAAATCGTGCGTCTATTACCAAAAACACGTAATTGAACACGTGTTTCGCGCTGTTTAAATAAAGTTTTGTTTGTTTTCGATGACCGCAAAGATGGCTTCCTCTTTACTAAAGGTTGCAGGTAAAATGTAGTAAATTGTTATTGTTTTAGTGTCTTTAAGTTTTTCCTATTAAACGTTTGCAACACTTAGAACTGCTTTATTCTAATTGCACACGTTGCAGTTGTATGCATCTTACTCCTTGACAGCTGTCGTGAATAAAATCCATCATAGACTATTTTTGTTGTAATTATCGTTCAGGATTTAATGCATCCATATTGTCATTTCATCACTCTTGAAGTTACAGGTCTCTCGAGGTGTGCATTGCACACCTTACCTTCAGTGAGGGCATTGTCTCTGACTGTACCCGTCAGTCAAGGTGTCCCTCGGTCATTATGGAAGTTAGGCAGGCTGAATCATGTGGCTATCGCAGTGCCAGACCTAGAGAAAGCCACAGCACTCTACCGTGATGTGCTGGGGGCTCAAGTAAGCGCCACTGTGCCTCTCCCTGAGCATGGGGTGTACACTGTGTTTGTGGAACTGGGAAACACCAAATTAGAGCTTCTGCACCCTCTGGGAGAGAAAAGCCCTATTGCAGGATTCCTGCAGAAGAACAGAGCCGGGGGGATGCATCATATCTGTATCGAGGTAAATATTAGATTAGGTTAGATCGGTAGTTCTCAACCTTTTTAGAACCCCCACCCCCCAATGTCCAACGTAATATTCAAATACTGGCTAAGATGTTTCTTCTAGTGTTTCAGCTGTAATTTTGACACTGCTGCTTTTTAAAACTTTTTTTTTTATCCTATTAAATTAATGAAACACAATTTGAAGATTCTGATTCTGTTTGTTTAAAAAAAAAAAAAAAAGCTATTCAGAGAAAAGTAAATATGATTTGAGAACCAATGGGTAAGACAATACTCATCTTTTAATACTCAAATTTGGTTTAAAGGTTTCGGAATTTATTTGTTATTTTTTTTAAATAAATGGATAAAAATAAGACACCTTTATATATACATTTCAGTTGTTATCAAAAATTAAATACTGGTATACAATATTAAATTATTTTATCTGTTAATTCTTGCTTTTACAATATTCCAATATGAAAAAAAAACATTAGATGGGATAATACTAATAATAATAATAATGAAAATTCAGAAACTAAATGTCTTGTGAATCGATCACATTGCAGGTGTCTTCACAGTAAATATTGAACTTGTTTCATAGTTTAGTGTCAGTATCCATAATGTTGCCTGTTCAATTGCAGGTGGATGATATCAATGCTGCAATAGTTGATTT